CAGATTATTAACGAGCTCCTAGCGAGTGTATAATTTTGTGGGGTCTGTCCGTCTGTTCGTCCGTCTGTCCGTTAGCACGATAACTCATAAACAAATTGACCGATTACGATGAAATTTTGCAGGTGGATTCTTTATCAAATTTGTAGATCGGAGTTCGTGAATTGGCAATGGAGACCAAAAAATAAAGTAGGCCCTTTTGGCATCTCCGTTAGTTATGAACCGAATTGCATGAAATTCAATATGCGCATAGCTTTAGCCATATAAACACAATTCCAAAAGTTGAGCCTAATCGATCAGCATTCACAGTGCCCTTTGCGCATCTCGACCATTTATAGACCGAATTGCAAACTTTCTTATTTATGGAAGAATTTAAATGAAATTTGATACATAACCACTTGGAATAAAAGCAAATATAACGCCAGTTTCAAAATTTTGTGTTGTGGATGCACAGTGCCAACTTTCTTATTTATAGAGGCATTCCAATGAAATTTGATACATGGCCACTTGGAATAAAAGCAAATGTAGCGCCATTTTCCAAATTTGGTTTTGTGTAGAATGTGCAGTTCCAACTTTTTTATTTATGGAAGCAATTAAATAAAATTTCATACATATACACTTTAAATAAAAGCAAAACTAACATTAGGTTTAAAATTTGGCTTTACACATGCTATAGCCATACCCAGGAGCTCGTTTGCTATATTTCTTTAATTTATTAGATAGCGAGGATATTAGTTTACAACTCAGTTTACAATACATTTTCTTGATAACAATTTTCGATATTAATAACAAATAAAGGTATTTTACTCTTGAGAAAAATTCATATTTGACATACTTGCCTCGTACACGACTCAAAAAATTTGATATCTGACGGTTGCAGATTACGTTTCAGACCATGCAGAACGTTTAATGAAAAATAACTTTTTTGCGCATTTTTTCAAATTTATTTGTAGAAAGGTAGCTTTTAATCTCACTATGGCTGACTGGCTTGCAGTAAATGCGAGCCCGTAGAAGAACGCTTGTAAAAAGACGAATGTACATATACCTATATTGGGGTCATGTAGTGTAGTAACAACTTTATGGACGGGGTACAAGATGTGGGGTCGGCGACATCTGGGCGCTATCACCGAGCGTGTTATACTAACCTGGAGATTTTTCAGTTTTTTTCCATCTACAGTTTTTCTCCGATTGTTTTCAAATAGGTGTCGGAAAGATCTTGTCAAAGCGAGGAATTTTGTTTTTTTTCCTAGGAGCGAAATGAACCACCTTTTGCACGGCGCGCTTCGAGGAGTGGTCGACTTTGGGCACCCAAAAGTTTCTTAAAGCTCGAATCGCGGTTTCTCTTTCTCGTGTCACCAATAGAAGCTCGAGCGATGAGAAGTACCCCAAAATTGAGTACTATTTTGTGCCGGGTTTTTAGCGAAATCCACCAAAATCCGAGTAAGAAGGGAGTAAACTGCAAACTCAAATTGTGGGTGCACGCGAGAAATGGGAAGCGGGTACCGACAAAGTGAATGTGGTAGCCTTGGATAAGATCTTATTTATGGAGGAGTCAATACTGGTTAATAAAACACTGATCTGCTACACAAAAATGCGCTGAAGTCCCTTCGATCTCACACGAGGACTTTGATAATGTTTTCGTAATATTAATAGTAAAAAAGTTTCCCATATGCTTGGTACTTAAGTGGACACGCTGTAGATTCAAACAGATTACAATAAAAAAATTCAAAAATATTTTTGAAATTTCTGTACTTATTATTTCAAAATTTTTTTAAATCTTTTTTTAATGTTTTTGAATTCTTTTAAATTCCTAAAATCTTTTTTGAATATAATCCCTTATGTGTTGTATTTTTCAAAAGAAAAATATGCCAAAAAATATGCCATCTTTTTAGATCAAAATATACAGGGTGTTCCATTATAAAAAATGAGGATAGGTCCGATAACTTATTTACCTGACTTTGTATACTTATTTTGGTAGATTACTCAACAGTCATTGCAAAGAACCTTTTGTAATAAACATAAACAATAAACTAAGAACTCTGAAATTGACCATTTTTTTCCCGTAGCTCTTACGCGGGCGAATATTTTTAAATTTTCACCAATTTTACCATTTTAAATTTGACCCAAAAAGGCTGCATGATGCTCGTATTACTTTCCTATCCTTTCCTAAATTTGTACTTGTCCAGTACCGAGTCGATGAATATAAACTTGAAAAGGGAAATGTGCACTGTGTAGTGCATATACTCTTTGTCATGTTTGGTGTCTAAAACGAGGTCTAAAATGTACCTAAAATAACATTGAATTTTTCTGAGCAATTTGAACTAATTGCCCATCATCAGGCGCCCGGCGCTAGATTAACATGTAATCCGAACAGCAGAATATAAACACTTCCAAATTTTAACAAGAATTAATTTTGGCATTTTTTTTCTGTTTACAGGAATGCAGAATCTTTCCATATCATGCTCATTGGTCTGCCTCATAATCATAGGAACCGCTGCGTTGGTCGGAGCTTTCGGGGTTTGTCAACATCAAATTAGTGCCGTATTAGTGACCGGAGTTATGTATTTATTAGCAGGTAATAACTTGAACTTTTCGGAGTATTCGAAGCGTTTTTTGTAAAAATTACAATATTCCAACATAAGGCTTTTTACTCATTGCAAATACAATTCAAACAGCAGAACACAAAATTAGACACAAACTTAACAGTAGGTGTCGATATCAAAATACCTTGCAAAATACTGAAATAGAAAGACAATAATTTCATTGGTCTATTTTTCATAATTTTCAGTTTTCTTGCACTTCTTTTGTTTTATTTTGTTTTTCCCACAGGTGATTTTCATCTTCTCCATAACCTGATCCGCACTAAATCCGTTAATATAGAAAATCAGAAATCAAAAATATCAATTTTAAAATTTTTTTATACCTATTACAAGTCAATATGGATTCAAAAAAATTGAAAAAATTGTTTTTCAAAATCTAAAAAATTTGAAAATCTTTTTGAAATTTATTTAATCATTTAAACCTTTTTTTGTTTGTTTACATTATTTTTAAATCTTTTTGAATGACTTGAACCTTTTTTAATATCATCCCCGGTGTGTTATATATAAAAAATGAGGATAGATCCAAATCCAATAACTTTTTTACCCCAACCCATATACTTATTTTGAAAACAATCGTTTTAAAGAAACGTTTGTAATAAACATTTTTCTGTACATGGACCTGATAGGAGAATAACTTACGAATGAAAATTAAAGGAAATTTCGCGCTCTACAACTTTGTGTTTGAGTCACAGTAAAAAACTGAAAGATGTCTAAAAATGGATTTTTTGAGTTCCCTAAAGCTAGTAAGTTTTTTTACGGGTAAATAGGGTGCATCAGAACTGCCAACTGGTCTCTATACAAATATTCGAGCAAATATTTCAGATGCTTTACGTTAATTTTAGTTGGTTGTACCCCTACATTTGGAAGTATCCCCCCAATCATATGTAAAAGAAACATTTCTCCCCAGCATTTTTTCAAACATTGAAGTACAGTACAAGAAACGCTTGAAAATACTTACCCGCAACTGTTCATGCTGAAAAACATTGTAAAACTAATTTTAAAAAATCTGTTTTAGCATCATTCGCCATCTTCACATTAATGATAATACACTTCAAGAGAGTTCAGTCGAAACCGCAAGTGAACATGGACCCCGACGGTACAATGGACGGCGTAGTCAGTCCGAGCGGCAGCAAGGGCACCAACTATCTTCTAGGCGCTCGAGTATTTACGACGTCGTGGTCGTTGGACTTGGGTTGGGGCGGTGTGACATTGTGCGTCATGACGTCCGTCTTGTGGATATTGTTATCGAAAATTATGCGATTTAATCCGATTTCGTCTATGATTAATTAAGCGCTCGAGCTCAACGTTTTGTCGTGACGTACAAGTATCGTTCAGGCTGACAAAAGCACAAAATGGTACGTGATACTACACGTTGGACTAATATTAGGCTCCCATTTATATGTAGCGAACACAGCAATTGCAATTTTTTTAGAATTTCTGTGTCGAAATAACTCACAATCAAAATTACCCACAACTGAATTCGTGTGATAGTGATAACGACTGATAGGGCAAGATAAATACCTAACAGCTTTGCGAAGCTTTATAATTGTAGAAATAGTTTGTAACTTTTTTCTATTTTTCGCAACATGCCGTCCATTTATGTAGCGTTAAAGCGCATACTACCTTAAGTGTAACGATACTTTGAAGACAAATAAGCAGGGTTATTGGATTATAAATGTTTCGCTACTTAGATTTTATAAATGCGTTATTAATACAGATTTTATAGATTAAGAAAAAATAACAAAAGCTAAGCTGCACTGTTGTTACTAATGTAGGCGAGCAATAAATGCAAGTATAACCTTTAAAAAATTGCATCGCCAGAGATATTTTTAATATTGTGCAAACATTTTTTTGCTTATTACTATGTATATATTTGTTCAATAAATCTTGTATGATGTTAATACCCGTTGGAAATCATTTCGAGTAAACCAAGAGAAATTGTACTAACCTCAAAGTCCGAAGTGATGGATGAACCCGATTAAACACACAAACGATACAATTAAGATGTTAGAGAAGAGTTTAATTTAAATTACAGCAACAAATATAAACAGTTAAACTACACACAATTTTGCAAATTTGGAAGTAGAGCGAGAAGCCCCCAGACAAAAGGGCGGGAAACGTAAACTATAACAGCACTACCAATCTAATGTAGAAGTAACTAATTAAAAACGGAATCGTACCAACCTTCATGTCTACAACCCCAAGAACAGTGGCGGACTGTAAGAAATTGATCTGGGAGTTCAGAGAAAAATTTAAATTATTCAGTGCTTAAAACTAAAAATATACGTTAGTATTACCGTTACCGGTAATGCTACTGATTAGTTTACAATGGTAATCTGTAGTCAATTTGTATTTCAATGTTATTGCAATTGGTTAGACCACCAACAATACACATCTCTAGACGATGTACTTTTTGAGTGAGATCAACGATGTATCTCTATCCTTCCCAGTTTTGCACAGCATATTCTCTTCATTTATTGTTAAACACAATAGACCATGTATAATGATCAAGGACTAATTATGTAAACAAGGTTATCGAAAAGCTGTACAATATTTGACTGGAGATGCACAAATGCCTATTTCTTTTACCATTGAGTAAATTACGTATTCAATGCATTTACTGCATTTTTCTATAATGACACCTTCTGATGTAAATTACCTGGTTCTCAGGTCATTTGGACTAGATTAGCATTGTTTGTTAACATTTTTAATTATCCCTTTATTTCCTGTGATTTGTTCTAATCAATTTTACTGATTTATAGATTTTTATAGTTATTAGGTAGACATGTGCATTAATGAATTCTCTTAGGTATGGTAGAACCTAATAAACCGGCACTTCGAACACCTAAAATAAATCTCTCTTATTTTATTATATATAAGGGTGAACAACAAAAAATGTATTTTTTTTATAAACATGGTAGCTAACATTTAAAATTCTGTTACAATGATTAAAAGTATAACATATACCGATTTTTAAATAAATTCTTATCTTTTCAAAAAATAATAATTGTACATTTAGCGTTATACTTATTTATATTTATGCACAACCCATGCAGAATTTTTCCGAATATCTTTTGTGCGGCAAGATGACTTCGTTTTTTTGTCCTAAATTGAGAATTCAGTTGTAAAATTTGTTGATTCCGCAGTTGATCCTCTATTTTCTGAGAGGCAAGATCCGAGATGATATCATTTCATATTCGCTAAGTTGATGTGAAGTTTGCGAGATTCCATCATATTCTCAAACGGAAAAAATAAATACTTGAAATTTCTTTTAAGTGGGAGAATTTTTTTACCCACCCCTAATTACCGGGAAAACCCAAAATTTCGCCCATGTTTTGATACAAATATTCATTTTCGTGATGTCTCGCTACCTTGACTTGACATGAGCAAAACAAAGACACTTTTTTTTAAATAAACTCGTCAGTGTCGCCCATTAGTTATCGTATCCCGCTTAGAAATTTAGCTCAAAAGGGACATTGAAACATTTTTTGTAACAGTTAAAATGAACAAGTGCAATCGAATTTCTTTGAAATGGTAGGCTCAGAATGTGAAAACCGTTTTCTAATATTCTCAAGAATAAAAAAGGACATCAAATTTAGAAAACTATGCGGACTGTATTTATGTCGGTATCGTTTCTGTTATTGTATAATAATATACCATGACGTTTCCTATGTTTATGTTCCGCTAATAGGCGAAAAAATGCCTGTGTGTCATTGGTTATCTATCGGGCGCAACTTTCTCGTCAATTTATTTGTAAAAATCGAAATTTGTCGTTCCTTTATTTTTTTGATAATCGGATTCCTGATATCTGATCATATTGAAAAAATAAGCACTTGCCTCTAGTCTCTACTCAGTAGTCGCATTTACGAATTGCGATATTGTGCTTCCCGCTTGTGTGGTGGTCATGCGTTCGTCCAAAAAATCAAAACGGTGCCACATTTTTACACAAGAACAAATTTGCGGCAAAAATACTTCTAAAAACTGGTACAGCCGTATTCTGACTAGGGGATTTAGCTAAAAATTGGGCTACTATTTGATACCTTCCTAAACAAATTTCTTGAAGCATCCTGATACAATGAAAAAGGTTTTAGAAATCAAAAATTACTTCCAATGTACCTACAATAAATATGCATTTAGTGCACTTTTCGTCTTGGGAATATGTGACATTATGATTTAAAAATCAACAGCATTCATGAACATTAGCTAATTTATCTAATCCATATCATTAGGAACGGCGTAACAATGTGCAGGATAATGCCAGATAGTTTCTTTTGTTTTCCTTTTCAAGTAATGAGTTGTCGCCTCAGGAGTTATATTAGTCCGGACGACAAACGCGATATTTTTTAAGAATCGTGCACTTTTGTATAGAAGCATGAATTTTTGTATACGACTTACCTATACCTCAACAGACATTTTAAACATTAGAGCCACTCTGGCTCTCTCTCAGGGGGGGCGTAGCGTGCCCATTCCAAAACGGCCGTTTTAGCAGTGGTATCCATTCGGTAATACCTCTGCCAACTCGCAACCACTAGGGCTAGAACAAAATTAAAACACGGATTTTGTTGAGCACCAGCTTAGCTAAAAAAAAATGTTAGGTATATTGATATTTACCCTAAATGTATTGAGTGTGGCTTTTTTTTGGGGTCAAAGTTAACCTTGATTGTTTTTCCCACAAAAAGTCGAGAATTTAGGCTTTCTTCATTCAAAATACTGTTTTTATTCATCTTTTTTAGATGTATAGTTAAACTTATTAACATACATAAATTAAATTAATTAAATTAAATTAATGAAATTGTATAATTTTATATTATTTGTTGTGTCCTATTCTTCGTATAGTAAAATCTTATATGTAGTTTGAAAAGAAAATTGTTACTTTAGAATAATAATTATTATAATTAATTATACAATTAATTAATACTGTACTATAGCTATTATTCATGATCGCATCCACCACACTTGCAACGTGGAGTGCAAGTTCAATTTCGTACACTTGCAGGATGTACATACGCTGCGCTTAGAGTCACATTTCACCACTTCCTTATGCAAGCTTCGATCGCTGGGGGCAGGTCCATCCGTTTCATCTGATATAGAATCGAAAGCTTCAATTAATTTATATAATATGCAACTTTAATTATTGTGATGTAGTGCAATTTGTCCTCACTTACCTCCCACCTTTAGTTGCTGCGCTTCCACCCGAAATCGCCTGGATCAGGAAGAACAGGGTTTCTTTCAAGGGCATTACCCCAGACATGACCTCCTTGGTAGGCAGCACGGAGCAAATGGAGACGAAGAGCATCCTGTGTAGGGGGAATATTCTCAATTTGCCTACCTTGTGAACAAATAGGACTCTTCTGCAATCGTTGACAGTTACCTCAGGACTCTGCTCCGTGCTACCTACCAAGGAGGTCATGTCTGGGGTAAAGCCCTCGAGCGAAGCTTGCAAGGAAGTGGTGAAATGTCACTGTAAGAGCCGCGTATGTACTTTCTGCAAGTGTACGAAATCGAACTTGCCTTGCACTCCACGTTGCAAGTGTGGTGGATGCGATCGTGAATAATAGCTATAGTACAGTATTAATTAATTGTATAATATTAATTAATTATAATAACAATTATTCTAAAGCTACAATTTTATTTACAAACTAGGTACATAGGTATAACGTTTTACTATACGAAGAATAGGACAAAACAAATAATATAAAATTACAATTTCATTATAATTTAATTTAATTAATTAAATTTAGTTTATATATAGAATAAGTTTAACTATACATCTAAAAAAATGAATAAAAACAGTATTTTGAGTGAAGAAAGCCTAGATTCTCGACTTTTTGTGGGAAAAACAATAAGGGTTAACTTTGACCCCAAAAAAGCCACACTCAATACATTTAGGGTAAATATCAATATAACATTTTTTTAACTAAGTTTGTGCTCAACAAAATCCGTGTTTTAATTTTGTTCTAACCCTAATGGTTGCGAGTTGGCAGAGGTATTACCGAATGAGTACCATTGCTAAAGCCGCCATTTTGAAATGGGCACCCTACGCCCCCCCTGGCAGAGAGCCAGAGTGGCTCTAATGTTTAAAATGACTGTTGGGGTATAGGTAAGTCGTATACAAAAATTCATGCTTCTATACAAAAGTGCACGATTATTTGCTAATCCTCCGGACTATATAGTGCAATTTGAGTTGCCTATTATTACGTTAGCGAGATTTTTTTCTGAAGATCGCGATATACGGTGAGTTTTTTTTAAATGGCGAACTAGGAGTTTGCATGCAATGTAAACTTACGATAACTTGACCTCACAGGCCACGCACTGACACCACAAACTCATTGTGCACCAACCTTTAATATTTGTAGGTCATGTGCACCTGGTATTCTACTATATAATTTTGATCTATTCAATACATAAATGAAGAAAATAAGAAGAATAAATAACCGAAAACAATTACAATAAATGTTCGAAGTGTCCTCCTTGACATTCTAAGCAATAACCTAACCGATTTCGTAATTAAATTGGACGGCGGTATTTTTTAAAAATGTGACAGCTGTCAATTGTGTCTACTACTTCATTTGAACTACTCATAGATTGATGTGTTTTTTTTTTAAATCGAACATAGGGAAATTACATTGCATACAAACTCCTATGTTCGCATTTTAAAAAAAATTCACTGTATGCGTTATCATAATAGGTGGAAACAATATCTTTAAGTGCCGCCATAGGAAATATTGTCGGATTTCCAAATTGGTGCTGTACGTTTTTCTACTCCCATTACAACGGCGGTT